CTTCTGTTGTTTTCAAAGTTGTTTTCTTCACCTGAACATCATTCTTGCGGTAGGTGTCTTTACGTCGTGACTCAGTAGAAAAGTTAGAGCGACTGGTGGAGTTAGCTGTTGGTTCACTGGTGTTTGAGTAATCAAAGCTGGGATTATTACGGGTTTTACTCATTTCCGTCACGAACTGGACCAGATAGGTAAAGGGTGGATATGTGACTCCATGTTGTGAATTATAACTTGTTGCACGTGTCATCCATTTTTCCTGCAAGCTGATTGGAAGCTTTGCGACAATGGGGCGCATGCCTGTGGGTGAATCCAAGTAGAGCAAGGAACGATTTAACGCAGGGTCCTCCATTCGCAGCTGGACTTCACTTATTAGATCTGCTAATTCAAAAAGCTTTTTGTTGTCTTTCACAGTCAGTTTGGGGAAATCCAACAATCTTGACTTCAATGAAGTTTCAAGTAGGACCGGGCTTCCATATCTGTCATCCAGGCGACTCCACAGCTTCTCCAAAGCTTTCTGTGGGTTGTTGATATTGGCGGTCCGTATGCTAACTGCGTGTTTCTTGGACTCGGGTCCTAGATATCGAATCAATAAGTTCAGCTCTTCTCTTGGATTAGCGTTCAGTTCTTTTGTAAGTACGTCAAAGCTATCCTTCCACGACTGATAAGTCTCTGGACGATCATCAAAGGTAACTAAAGACCAACGCAGCAAATCTTTCTTATTAATGTAATTCGCAAAGTCATTGAGTAAGGCAGGTTGAGGCTGTATCGGATTGCCATGATCGGTCGTTGTAGGCATAATGACTTGGTCCTCATGAAGTGGTCTTGTTGGACTACACTGCAGGAGTGCAGGAGTGCCAGTAACTGTTGGAGGATGATAATTCTCCAGGCTTGTATGAAAAACTGGTACGCTTGTATGAACAGCTGGTACACTATCTGTTATTGGCTGATCACTTAAGTATTTGTTAAGAATGTCAGTATTATCTAATTCATTGCTCACAGAAGTCATTTCATCTTCATCCCACATTCTGAATTCCTCTTTCATTCCCAGGTACTCTGCATCAGCTACTGCAGCTTCCTTTTTCACAGAAAGAACGTCCATTTTGGCCTTTAGTAGTGCCTCTTCTTGTCGCATCTTTGCTTCCTGTTCAGCAAACTTTAATTTTACTCTGGCTGCTTCTCTTTTTGCTCGTTGCTTTCCTAGAAGTGATGCAGCACTTGATGAGTAGCTGGAGCTTCTTGCAGACTTAAAGCTGCTGGACTTTACTTTTGTCTCTTTAACAACATCTTTATTGTTCACTTTTCTATTGTTCACTTTTCTATAGAACTGTTCAACACGTTCTGAATAGGTGGCTTTAAGTAAAGCCAGTGACGACTGTTCACGAGCACTATCCTCAGTGTTATATCTTACGAGAAAGTTTAATAACTCGGAACTCATGTTATTGTAGGTGACTGGTATATATCTGTAACACGTTCTGTCAATGAGTTTGTGTCTGTTTCTTCATGCACTGATTCACCGAGTAGACTATCTAAATGTCTTCCAACTTTTGTAAGTCTGTTTGAAAACCGGTCCACCTGTGCTTGAAAGAATGCTGCTCCTTTCTCCGACAGGGATCTTTGTTGTCTTGTCTCCATGTTTCCAAGCTCTTGCTGGGTAGATGGGACCTCCATATCCAAATTCAGCTCCTGCTGAGTATCGGAATGATCCATATGTTTAGGTGATCCTCCTGTGGCCATATCTGACTGGAAGTCCTAGATTTCTCACTGTAAAGCCTTTTTAGTGATCAATAACTAAGGTGCTTTTCATCATGTGATTTATTGCAGAATAGTAGTAGGTATGTTGTATAGTGAGAAACTGAAAAATAAACAACACAGTTATAAGTACAATGTTACAAAACAACAAGTAAAACAGCACAATAAATGCAACTCAGGCAGACTAGTACATATCATTATGTGTTTCATTCTATAAATGGCTCAATAAAAATATCTCTCTTAATATTAACTTGATTCTTATGACATTTTGTAAATAAACAACTTGCTAAACTTAATATGTAATGAGATTTAATGTTTTGACTAGATAATTCGAGTTGACAATACTTATAATCTCTCGTACATGAATTATTCGACTGAATACGTGACATACAAAGACCTAGTTAGAATAATCTAACTGTGTCTCGGTACAGGCCCTCACCACAGTTAGAATACCACCCATATACTCGCAATGTTGCAAAAAATTGCAGAATCGCACCGAAACGATTTTGAAGAATATAAAATGATTTGCACTGGGAATAACTACCAAAATAATCAAAACAAACCTTCTTGAGATTGCTTATGCCTTTTATCCCAAAAAGTAACCAATATAAATACGAAAATCCAATTAATTTTCTCAACGTTTTTCTCTCGATTCAAATTACCTGACATGTTTAAATTCGGAACTCTCTAGATTGTTCCAAGTAAATGCACTATGCGAGTTATCGCCCGTGTTTCTTTCTGCTACATTACGAATACACGGAACGAATTCTATCGTTAAACCGGGTCCGTAGGACAATATCATTTTAACGATAGAACATTCTATCTAACAAAGACCATGTGCGCCCTAACCTTGACATTAGCTACCGTTTCTAAATTTAGACAAAAGTACCAAATCATGTTCCATAAAATTCTACACATACTACAAATGCATACATCTTCATCTTGCACAAGGTTTATAATAAATCACTAAGACACATAATAAACAAGAAAAACTTACTCTATGCCGGACTATAACAGCAAAATATGACATAAAACTTGCAGATTTGATGCGGGCGCCATGCCGTATACAAAACACAAACGGAAATCGTGTGTGAAAATGGAACAGATAACGGATTCAATCCGGAAAGCTAACTAAGGGAAACAACTCAATTTCATGTAACACTACAACTATACTCAGTCCATAAGTATTTTTTTTAATTAACCGGATTTAAAAGCAAGACGTAAAATACCATCTCTTTTAAAAATGTATTTCATTTCATATACAATAAATTGTATTCTTGATTAAAGCGCAGTATTTTTTTCTTGAAAATTTTATTTTACATTGCCGAAATTCTCATCATGTACAATTGGCTATATAACATTCTGATTAATAGTCTTTATTATAACCTGTGCATTTACGATATAAATATTGTTTTTTCTTCTTTAATTAAATAAAACAACAATAAACAAACAAAAAACTATGTACAATTTAAAATCGATGTTGTTCTCAGACCCTTACTGATCAAAGAGGAACAACTCTGAAAATGTAGGAGATGTTTCAAATTGTTTTCTTCCCTTTATTCACGGTTTTCCGCATAGACAGAATCAAATACATTTACAGCAAGACCTGATAAATCCGAGAATTGAATACTATAGACCTCAAACACACAATGTAAGTATAGAATTGAAAAAAAAATTGTTTACTAGTACTGAAATTATCTGAATTTATGAATATCCTTTTGCAGCAAATCGTTTGACTTTCTGTCAAGTGTCAACAATGTTGGCTAGCATTTCCTCGAATCAAAACAAAACGTAGCCTATAAGGTTTTTAAAAATATCAAAGTGCGATTTGATATAAACTAAAATAGATGAAGAGTTTAATGTTTGATATTTTGAAAATAATGTGGATGAATACGGAATTTTCATTTTAACTTCAGAAGCAACGACATTGAAAGAATGCGTACAATATCGTGAGGGGTGTACATGTATGCAAATGTCGATGTATCCCCACGGCAACATACTGTCTTGTTTGAAATAATGACAAATGAAAGAAACTATAATTATTTCCATTTATATCACAGGAGAGTTGAACATACACCTTTTTTTTTTTTTGATAAATAAAATTGAAGAAATAAAATTAAAAATCAACATATTCAACATAACTTGAATTCGTATCCAGGTTTCATGTGATATGGAATGCATAACGCATACATATATGGTCTAAACACTAAAATCCTTCAGTTATTTTTCCTGATACATATAAAACCAGCAGTCTATATTTATTCTGCATTCATGAATTTAAAAACTAGTTAATGCATACCTCCGGGATTCAAATGAGGAAATACTTGTATATTTGCACTGTAAATGCTAATGGTCTGCGACGGAAAAAAAAATGAAGGGGTAGGGTGGTAGGGGTATTCAAAAATTGCCTAAAAAACTACATTTAAATACGCTTTACCTATGAGAACTTTTACATATGTAAGTTAATATATTTTTGAAGCAAAAGCATTATTCCAATTTGATTTTTTAAAAATGTGTATTTGTAGATTCATAGCAAAGTGATCGACCCCCATCTGAAAGACGCGCGGGAACGTGATTTATTGAGAAAGGGGGAGGGGATAATTTTCCGCTATTAAATCAAAACTGGTCGTACAAAAATTATACAAAAAATTATAAGGATTATTTTTACTACCAGCTACCTAAAGAAAGTTTTTTACCAAAATTAAACGACAGTTTTTTTCACAAAAAAATTTTGAATTTGAAAAATACGCAATTTTCAAGGCTTAGATAATTCATAGTTTTTCAGTTTAAGGTCTTTAAAAATTGTTTTGCTGATAATTATATAAAAAAGATGACTATGTTTTTGTGTTAAATGGTTAAAGGAATAAGTCAATGAAATTTGACAGTTATATCTAACCTGGCTTTTTTTTAAATCAAGGTTTAAGTAGTTCATTGATTAAAAATTTTCTCTCCTTGTAAACAACTAAAGGGCGGTAACTTTTGGAATATTCTGTCCAAAAACCACTCGAACGATTTTGTCCAAAATGTGCATACAAGCAGTAGATATAGTCATGTACTAAATATACAAAAATAACGAAAATTAAACGACAGGAATTTTTGGGGGTAGGTGTGTTGTACATCCTTAACAGTTAATATTTCATTCGTTTTTCACCATATTTGAAATGAATGTAATATACATTCCGTTTGAATTATAGTGCAATTATATAAGTATATGTTGCAGGCAAAGTAATTTCTTTAGAAGTTTCCTATCTTACTTTGACTTCACAGCCTGGTTTGATCATTGTGGTGAAGGCCCCCCCCCCGGAGCACAGAGAGCAGCGTTAGCCATCTTAGACATGGACAATTATGAGTTGTTGTTTGTTGTTACAGCGAGGCGACGACAGGGTGTCCAGAGAGGCCAGCAACAGGGGCAGGCAGGACAGGGAGTTGTGTAATACCTGAAATAAGTTTATGTATAGAAAAGCTTCCATAATTTAACCAAAAATGTTCATCAGTCTGTCCTAAAGAATTTTGAACCCTGTGAACATGTTAATAAAATAGCATAAATCAATTCGTGTTCTACACAGTTTGAAAAAAAAACATATTCCTGAATATATAAGTGATCTACGAAAATATAAATGTAAACAGAATTTGCCCCCAGGCTAACTTTCCCTAAGTTAACGTACCCTCTGTACATCGAATTGTGACCAGGACTGAGCTGTGTGTGTCTCGGAAGCATTCCACCCTACCCCCGGGGGTCATGAGTTGAGCAAAATTTGAAACTACACAACCTGAGGATGCTTCGGAGTTCCATATGAATATGATCAACTATGGCTTTGCAATTCTTGAGAAAAAGCTTTTGGCCCCACCCTACCCCCGGGGTCATGACTTGAACAAACTTGAATCTATACAAACTGAGGATGCTTCCATATAAATATGATCAATTATGGCTTTGTTATTCTTGAAATTTTCAAAAGAAGATTTTTAAAGAATTTTCCTATATATCTCAATCTTATGTAAAACTTTGGTCGGCCACTGTGCCCCACCCTACCCCCGGGGTTATGATTTGAACAAACTTGAATCTACACTACCTTAGGATGCTTCCATATAAATATGATCAATTATGGCTTAGTTATTCTTGAGAAGAAGATTCTTTTTTAAAAAATCCTATATATATCTATGTAAAAATTTGGTCAGCCATTATGGCCCCGTCATACCCCCGGGGGTCATGATTTGAACAAACTTGAATCTACACTACCTGAGTCCTGAGGATGCTTCCATATAAATATTATCAATTATGGCTTAGTTGTTCTTGAGGAGAAGATTTTTAAAGAATTTTCCTATATATTTCCATGTAAAACTTTGGTCGGCCAATGTGGTCCCGGCCGCCCTACCCTCGGGGGTCATGATTCGAAAAAAACTTGAATCTACACTACAAATGTACCTGAGGATGCTTCCATATAAATATGATCAATTATTGCTTTGCTTATCTTGAGGAGAAGATTTTTAAAGAATTTTTCCTATATATTTCTATGTAAACTTTGGTCAACCATTGTGGCACTGCCCTACCCCCGGGGATCATGATTTGAACAAACTTGAATCTACACTACCTGAGGATGTTTCCCCATAATTTTCATCTTTCCTGGCATAGTGGTTCTTGAGAAGAAGATTTTTAAAACATACCACCAAATTTTCATTAATTCCCAATTATCTCCCTTGAATGAGGGCGTGGCCCTTCATTTGAACAAACTTAAATTCCCTTCACCTAAGAATACTTTGTGGCAAGTTTGGTTGATATTGGTCCAGCGGTTCTTGAGAAGAAGTCGAAAATGTGAAAAGTTTACAGACAGACAGACAGCTAGACAGACGGACGCTGGACAAAATCTGATCAGAAAAGCTCACTTGAGCTAATAAATTGGATATAGATAATATATTCTCACCAAATTATGTATAAGTGCATGCTTAACAAATACCGGGGGTATCTTAAATTATTTCTGTAAAACTTAACTGTAAATCACTTTTTATTCGCGAGAACTTTATTTTCGCGTAATTATGCAAGACAGTGTGCTCGCAAAAATTTAATTCTCGCGTATAAAAGTATTCCTTAAGATTATTTAGAGCAAGATCCACAATTCGTGAAAATTTTGTCTCGCTTATCAAGAGTCAATGACTATCTCGCGAAAATAAGGTGTCGCGAAAATTTAGTGATTTATAATTACAGTAAGCAAAATACAAATTAAAGAGGAGGGAGGTCAAGGTCACAGGAATGTGCAAGGTGAAGTTTTTGATGCAGTTGAATAGCTCTCACTAATACATATCAGCATATTAGGTT